TTTAACAAGTTGTGAAAGTTGAAGGTTTTGAAAATTAATGAGTTTCTTTGGTAAATTTCATTACTTACAATTTGTACTGTAATCTTTTTACAGGAGGCACAACAGAATCGTCCTGTTTCTTATCGTGAAGTGTATAACAAAGTTCACAAAAAAAAATGATGGTGAATTTGTCTCAACTAGGGCAAAGAAATTTATTGTATGTTATTTTATATTTTAAGATTGATTATGTACTTTTTTAACCTCTTGCTATTTCACTTATTTTTATTTATTTATTATTTGTAGGAAACATATGAAGAATTAATGACACAAAAATATGGAGAAGACACTTCATCTCGTCCTGTAATTGATTCTGATCTTTGGTTAAAAGCTGCAGGTGAAAACAAGAAGAAAAGAGTGCATGGCATGGGACATAGCTTGGATCTTGGAACTAGTAGCTCTACCCAAGCTTCATATCCAGAGGTTACAGGTTCTTCTACAAATCTTACGCCTATGATAGAAGAACGGGTCACTACAGTTATAAATAATGCATTGGCCTCTTTTTTGCAAACACAATTACCAGAGATGATGAAACAAATAATTCAGGCAGTTAAACCATCAACAACACCGTCAACCAACCAACATAGGCAGGATCAAGGACGAGATGATGATTTTACTAGCTTAGGTTGATTACTATTTAGGATGACTCGTTATTTGACTTTTTTTTTTGTAAGACATTAATTAGTTTGGGTTTCTTTAAGATAGTATGTACAAGTTGAATTTTGTAAGACATTTAACAATTTGGTTTTGTAAGAGATATTGTTACATGCAACTTTTATTTTAAATCATGTCGAATTGAAAAAAAATTATGTAGTTGATTTAGATTTATTTAAAATATCAAATTAAGTGGCATCTATAGGGATTCATGAGAGAATAATGTATATATATAGATAAATTAGGAAGGTTTTGCAAGATATTAGCGAGGGATTAGCGTGGTATTTGCGAGGGAACTCAATCCATATGCTTTGATGGATTTGCGTGGGATTAGCGAGGGATTTGCGTGGGATTAGCGAGGGATTTGCGAAGGACATATTTGCGAGGGTTTAGCGAGGGATTTGCGAAGGACATATTTGCGAGGGTTTAGCGAGAGACTTGCGAAGGACATATTTGCGAGGGATTAGCGAAGGACATATTATCGAGGGATTAGCGAGGGATTAGCGAAGGACATATTTGCGAGGGATTAGCGAATGACATATTTGCGAAGGTTTTGCGACGTTTTAGCGGGGAAATATTAAATGCAATTAGCGAGGGAATTTAGGTTCTACATTTGCGAGGCGATAGCGACGAATTAGCGGCACAAATTTGCGACGGACTACGAAGCTGGTTGCGAGGGAAAAGCGAAGGAATATAGTGAGGGAATTGCGGGGGATATGCAGCCGTCGCTAATTAGCGACTTGAATTTAGCGAGGGAATATTCCTTCGCAAATCCCTCGCTAGTCCCTCACCATTTTGTTTAGCGAGGGATTTGCGAAGGATCTTTCCCTCTCTAATTCTCAATTTTCTTGTAGTGCTTTTTTATGAATAGGGAAAATAGAAAATAATTATTTATTTTATATTCTGACAGAGCTTGCCGGTAGAATTTGGAGATCATTTGCATAAGAGAAGATGGAAAACAATGAATATCTGTGGTCCTGTAGAGATGGTGAAATGTTCTGTCATCATTCATTCCGAGGGAAGGAAATTTGTCAAACTTGGGAAAGGTTGGAAGGATTTTTGTAACAAAAATCAGTTTGTTGCCGAAGATGAACTTGAATTTTCATTTCCTCATGATAGACGCAATTTGACCCATGTTATGAAGATTCAGAATTGATTATGGTAATTTTAATATTTAGGGTTTAGGATTAATTTGTAATATTTTGGTATTATGAAGTAGACCTGATTAACAAAGTCAATGTGCTTTGTTATCTATACTAACATATAAAGGGGATACATTTTTTAGTAACCACCTTGGTCTCCACATTTTGTTGACTAATACACCCTTCTATTTTAAAAAAAAAAATTAGAAAAAATAATATTTTTTTATCAAATTCAAGAACTTGAAACTAATAAATTAATTATAACATTTACTTAATATATAAAGTAATTTTAATATTTACTAATTTTATTTCATAATTTACTAATTTTAATATGGACACACGTTTGCATTTATAATTTTATTTTAGTGTTTGAAAATTATAACCGTAAGCATTTGTGTTGAAAAGACTTTAATTGGTGTATTGGAATCAGTTATGTTATGCCATTTATGACACGTTTACCAGGTTTACATGGTTTTGCATGTTACATATTTCAACGATATGTCAGTTATCACACGTTTAGACGGTTTAAATATTTGAACACATTTTCGAACCAACTATGGTAACCGGTTTCAAGAAACAACATACAAAAACTGTTTTGTAACTTCCCAATATTCATTCCAATGTTATCAACTGAAACAACGTGCCATAATGGGGTATTTTCAAATTTTGTTGTCAGTTTTCTTTCTGACTCTTATATATAGATGTTTGCCACATACGAGAAATACAGCACAGTCAAAGTTCTTTGTCATATTCTCTTACTACACAACTTTACTTAGACCACTGCTACAGATGCCAAAACTATTCTTTTTCTTTGAAACTATTCTTCGTTCAAATGGAGAAGTTTATTGCTCATGATCCTAAAGAGGAAATGGAAACTCTGAAAGACGTGAAGAATCGTGAAATTCATTCCGAATACATCCCTGGATATGTAAGTAATAAAAATTCTTTGTTTTAAATTCTTCATATTAAATTATATTTCAAAATAAACAGTATAATTTTTTCTTGTATTTAATTTATCATTTCTTTTCTTCTATGTAGAAAAAAATAAGATTGCCCGACTTATTTTCTATTGATTACTACAATGAAATCAAAGACGTAGTTACTCTAGAAGATCCTTACGGTAATTCTTTTGAATGTTTTGTGAAGAAAAAGAAGGGTCAGGTGTACTTAACTGAAGGAACTGAACCTATTGGCCCTTTTTATGGCCTTGATAGAGGTGGTCGGCTATGTCTGACATTTTTGACTGAAAAATATTTTGCAATGTTAGTAAAAGATAGGTTAAGTGACGAAGTTGATTATCCCAAAACAATAAAAAATTTCAAACTTGGAAACCAATCTAAGTCTGGTAGTGCTAGTATGAGTACTAATAAAATGGTACTGGACACTCCACACCCTTCTCAATATTTTCATATGCTGAATAAACAGATGAATGCTGATGATGTTACCACATCTATTCTGGTATGTAATGCAATTAAATAATTTTCATTATTTTTATTATATTTATAATTTTTTATTTCTTCATTTATGAAATACTTTATTTTTTGGTTTACAAAAACTACCAATTGGGTTTTGTGAAAATGCTATTTCCAAAACTAACAACCATATTGATTTAGTTGATCCAAAAGACAACATATTTGAATGCATTATAACTTGGGACACTGGATCAACTCTGCATTGCAATTTAACTGGAGGATGGACTGACTATTGCCAAGTCAACAATACCAAGGAAGGATCTACTATTTTATTTGGAGTAATGAAGGACAACGATAATTGTATTTACTCTAGTTTTATTTAAATTTGCAAGTCGGTATGTCTCATCTTTAATTGGACAAACGGAACATCAATAATTTCAGTATTTTATGTTTAATATATACGTGTCTACGTAGTATTGAAAAATGTTATGCATTGTACTTTTTTTTATTGCATTGGTTGAATAAACTTAAGTCGTAGTAAATTTGTTAGCTTTAAATATTGAAATTAAATGTTATATATACATATGTTGTTTAAAATTGATTAATATATGCAATTCTATTAAAAATTGAAATTCAATGTCACCATGGTTTATTAATCATTTAATTTACACTATTAAATGATGGTAAATTAAAAAACATTTTGTTTTAAATGTGAATAAAAACTATTATTAAGTATTACTTGTAACTTTTATTTTAGAAACTTGTGATTTGTAATTTAGAAATTCTAGTAACATTTTGTTTAAAATTTACATAAAAACTATTATTAAGTATTACTTGTAACTTTTATTTTAGAAACTTGAAACTTGTAACTTGTATTTTAGAAATTAATTAACTTACTAGTAACCTTTTGTTTAAAATTTACATTGATGGTATATTAAAAAACCTTTTGTTTTAAATGTCAATAAAAAGTATTATTAAATATTACTTGTAACTTTTATTTTAGAAACTTGTAACTTGTATTTTAGAAATTAACTGACTTACTAGTAACTACAACCAAAAAAACATATTAATCGTATATTGTCCCATTATTAAGAGTTTAAGATTTATGACACACTTAAATGAATATTCTTATTTCTAAGCAAAAAAATCAACAAACTTTTACTTTATCACATTGTTAAATAAAAGAAAATAAACATTTAATTTTAATTAAATTAATATATTATTTCATTAAAATTATTTAATTAATATCATTTAATATCTACCAAACACATTACGTATTCTACCCAAAGTTTTGTTAAACGAAGCCCACATTTTCGTTACATGGTATAATTACCCTATTAGTAATCATGGATAGGCTTAGGACGTGCCAAGTTGCTTGTCACTTGTGAGACGTTTTAATATATAAACTGACAACACCAAACCCCAAATTCAACAACACTTGATTTCTTCTTCAAATCAATAAACACATGGCAGTATCAATATCAACGCCGTATATCATAATTGATGTGCTCCCTTTATGCGTACTGTGCTGGCATGACTATTGCCACTTTTCTTGCACATATTCATCATTTCTAATGACTACATTAAATTGCAATTCAATTTTAATTAATTAAAAAAATATTAAATTTTAACTCAATTTGTTAAAAAAATTTAAATTAGCTATTACATAATATCTAATTTTTAGATGAAAAATTTATTTATGTTTGTTGAAAATTTATAAATTAGCTATTACATAATATCTAATTTTTAGATGAAAAATTTATTTTTTCTATAAATTTTTATATAATAAAATATGAAATTAAATATAATTAAATTTTTATATATTATATATTATCCTCATAAAAAAAATGAACTGTATGTGGCTAAATTAAATATTCAAAACGTATGGTGCTACTAAATGCTATCTATCTGTCCATGTTCAGAATAATGAATACGTATATTCATGACTATTGGCTAATGGTTCATTGGATAACGTAAGTGAATGACAATATTGCATGCGGGAAACAATATTAAAGTAACTTGCAAACCCTACACCATATAAATAACACAGAGTTGCACTCTAACTTATTTGAACAAAATGGTGAGTTTATAACTTTGTTTTCCTCTTAAATGAACTCTTCCAGGAACTCTCATGTCTATTTTTCTACATCCTTTATTTGCAGATGGGTGAACTCAATCTTATACATGATACTAATTTCAGATGGTTTTGGTGTGAATACAATCATGCAGTTATAAGTGTTTTTTTAATATAAATATTTTTCTTTTCACAAAACTATTTGTCTGAGTAATATTATTTTTTTCAGCCATATGGTAATATTTACATTGTTTACAAATCAGTTTTATGATGACTTGCCGGAAAGGGTTATTTTATTTGACTGAATGGGGAATACTATGGAGGTTGATATTTGTAAACAGCAACAACGTCGAGCATTTTTCACACGTAGTTGGGATGAAATTAAGCAGAAATATAATTTTTGGTTAGGAGGGTGGATTAAAATATATTATCTTGAAAATAAAGAAATGTATATGGAGTTGTATGATACATACATGACTGAAATACTTTATCCAATAGAACGTTTTGAGATTACAATAGACAGAAATGA